TGCAGTCTCAATCTTCTGAGATTTTCAAGACCAGACTGACAGAATTCTGAGCAGCCTGGTGTGATTTCACAGTTGACCCTGCCTGAAGCAGGTTGGAAGAGAAAATTCCTGAGCTCTCTTCCAATTTCAATAATCACATGATCCTATTGCTCTGTGAAACATAATGTTTTTATTACAACTTTGAGCTAGCAATTTTCAGTACTACTAATCTATGGAAATGCATTTTTAAACAATTCATAGGAATTGCAGATTTTCGCATCAGAAACATAATTCCTGTTTTGAGCTATGACAATACCTTTTACATGATAAAACACACCAATTTTCTTTTTGATGGGTAGAAAAAGCTGAAGCTGCCATTTGTCTAGTAGCAGCTAAGTAAAACCAACATTTCTACCTTTTTATTGGCTTTAACAGCCTGCATTCCACACACCTGTAACTACAGGGGTGGTCTGCCAGCCTGAATCAATGCTCGCCAGCTGTAAAGGGGCTTCTACTTCAACTATTCCCAACGGACTTAGTGACCTGGAGCTGAAGGCACAGCAATGTCTGTGATATAAAGAGACTGTGTGCACACACCAAAGAAGGAGCAGTTTGACCAGAACACCCACAGGAGTCTTCTACATCACACTTCTAGAATCTGTCAAGGTCAGACAGACCCACCCTGAATTCCCACACAGAGCAACCTACAGGCATCTCAGGAGCTTCCCTGTACTGCAGCTGTTTCAACCTCCCTGGCTGAACTTCTTCTGCAGAGAGAGAATTGTGTGTTGCACCTTGGTGATCCCTGTGGACAGTGGTGAAAAATTGCAGCATGCAGAGAACTGAATAGAGGAATGCCTGCCATGTCAAAGGAAAAAACGTGAACATCAGGAAGTTCCTACATTCTAAAAAGTGTGTCTGTGGAGTACAGCTATTCTCTCAGAGAGGCACATCTTTATATGATAACTTACAGGAAGGAGACCCTCCAAGATTATGAAACAGAGAGACAAACAGAACAATTGTTTTATCTTGAAAAGCACTTGGAAAGCTTCCCTTGGGGGGACTGCAGTCGATTCATTTTTGTAGAGGAGAAAAGTTCCCCCCACTGGCAGGTAGGCAGCTTATGCTTTAGCAAGGGAGGAGGGTATGCTGCTCACACATATGCCAGTAATTTGTTGTCAGGGAGAAGGAGGTAATGCTGCTGGACAGGCTGTGTAAACACCAAAAGCCCAAAACCTAGCAAAGGAACAATCAGAGACACAGGAGGCAGAACGGAAAATACCGAGAGGATGTTATACTTGATGCACTTGAATTCTCCCAGGATCATATATTAGAAAGCAATGGATTATTTTACAAAAACAACAGGAAGAGAGAAAAGGCTGGTGAGAGAATAAGGATTACTTACAGGAGTATTTAGGGACCTGCAGGAATGGAGAAGGGACAAAGAAAGCAAATTCTATTCTTAGAAGAGGGGGTGAGTAAAGAGAGAAATGTCCTTAGAAAAACAGGACTATGAGGCAGGACAAGATCGGTGTTAGCACAAGCTTTTGAGGCAAGGAGAACAGCTCCTCTGCAGTAAAAAAAAAAATCTGTTTGCTGCATCCTTTGTTCAGCTGTGATCTGCTGGCGTCTATACAAGGGTGACACCACCGTAACATGGCAATTACCTAGGGCACAACACCTAATCTGTGCAGCTGTAATGTTGGCAGAGTCCTGCAAACACCAATTACATGGAGCAGCTCTCCTTGAGGACTTCAAGTCCAGGGCATATCTGGTTGGTAGAGCTACCCCAGGATACTGGAGCTAGCCCCATTGTTACAGTACAGCATCGGGATTTGTCACATGGTCTACCATAAATTCTCTCCAGAAAGAGAGAGAGGTCATTTCTAGCTGCTTTATGACATTACAGCATAGGATGAGTTTCTGCAGAAAATAAAATGACAATGTCTGGATATTGAACACAAACTCCTCAAATACAATCACTAGATCTGGTCACACAAGGTGACAGCAAGAGCTGTGCTTGAGCAAGAGTACAAGGGGCTGGCAAAGGGACCACATAGCCTCCCCCAGCTCCCTACAGCAAACACGCAAGCAGGGTGAGGGAAATCTGGTTGGCATAGGAAAAAAAGGCAGCTCTTGGCTGGGGCAGAAAAGTGTCTCTTTTGTGTGAGGGTGTGCCAGTGCACAGAGTAAAAATGGGAATGTTTGGAAGGTCAAGGGCTGGGCATGTCACAGGGTAAACACGCTGCCCTGCCGCCTCAGAACTACCACTGCAGAGCTAATCTGGTCTGAGCTAATTGTTAAACATATGGTCACATGCCATGGAAGGGAGCAGGCACTGATAAGGACTGCTGATAAAAGAGCAGTAGAGGGGCATTCCTGAACTCTGCTTAACAACTCCCACCTCCACCAGCTTCCAGCGCACAAAAGGCAAATTCTGATTTTTGTCCTGTCAGTGATTTTGCCTCATCTTTTGTACAGCTCCAGATGCTCCTTAAAACAGAGCAAGTAATATTTTTGCTTCCCATTTCAGTTATTTTAAAGTTTCCTTATTTGTAACAGCCACTTCTTTAAAGTGAGATTTGAGTCTAAATGAGGACACAGCTGCTTCCTCCTCTTCCCTCATCTCTGCATTAGCTGCAGTTGGCAGTGAGCCTTGGAGCATTCTCATTTCTTCACATTAAATATTTTGGAAAGCAGAGATTAGTCAGTTACCAAAGCGATGTTTTCAATAGCTCAGAGTTCAATAATCAACTTCCTTGAAATTTTCAAGTGCTTCTAGTTACTTCTGAAGTCAGCCCACAGGAGAGAGAACAGCAGGCTAACACATTTCTAAGGCTTAGCATGATGCATAACCTGCTCCTTCTTTGCCATTTCATAACTGAAGGAATTAACACAATCGATAGCTTGGCAGCAGTGTTTAGGGAGCTTGCCATGCGGAGCCCAGGTAGGAGTTCCTTGGGCTGAGTGTCAGCATCCCACATCCTCCCAGTTTACACAAACAGCTTGTTTTGTCCTCCTCATCCACCAGACACCACAGCATGCTCACCTCTAATGTCAGTGTTAGCATGGCTTGTTGGTGCAACACAGACTTGAAGATGCCTTCACCTGCATCCTGAACTGAAAGATTTAAGATTGCTTTGGACAATATCAGTAACTATTTGATTTTGGTTATAAACAGCAAGACCCATGCCATTTCTTGCTTGCTTTGTCACACACGCCTCAACAGTAAGACGAAATAATCCTCCTCCTTTTGGCCTGATTACATAAAACAGTTTGTTCACATCTTTGACCACTAAGGCTCTTCAAATTTAGCACAAAGCCAGTAAATACTGATAATATGCATCCAAAATCTTCATGGGATGGCTTTACCTCAAATGTATCAAAAGGTAACAGAATGTTCTTTACAAAACTTCACTTTATCCCATCAATTTTTTCAACTCCATTTTCAGTGACACTGTACTACAAGCAGAGAATTTCAGAGCGCCAGGTACATTGACAGCAGCTCATTCCTTAGTATTTTTTACATGCTGATTTACATTTTGAGAATACATGAGGGGATTTATGAGAAGATAAAGGTGTATAGTAAAGTCACACCTACTAAATGCATAGCAAAGTGATGTGTGAGCAAAGAGAGTATCATACATAAAATATTAATCATGTGTCAAAGTGTCTAACCTCTAACTTAATTGAAAATTGAAAGTGTGTATTATAAACATTTAGACTTAGGAGACCAACAGACTAATCTGGTCCATTAAAAGACAGAACAATGAACGTGATTGAGTCACCAAGTCCCAGGGGTAATGGAGTGGATTACTAAATCCTCTAGTAGCTGATGCTTGTTAATGACAGTATTTCACAAAATAAATGAGAGGGACAACTAATATGATGTTTCATCGTCAACTATACCCACAAGTGGCCACATAACAAGATGTACTACTATTGGAAAGAATTGTACAGTATTATCATCAAATTTTAAGATACAAGATTACAATTGTGACACAGAATAAAGACCCACTTTTGGCAGCTTTTTGAAACCTCACAAGTGTTAAGTTACGTCTTTCTCTTGCCAGGATATAGTTGCTCAAAAATTCCCAGACAAGTGAAATACAATACTCAAATGCTTGAATGCTAAAGCACTCATGTAAGGAAAGCACTGGGTACCACAAGTAAAATGTAGCAAATTATCTTTATTAATAAGTTTTTTTTTTATTCCCCTGTCCCCATTTTAAAGAATGGTTTTGGTTTTTTTTTAATGGCTGAAAAAACAGACCTGAAAATAAAGAGATAAAATAACTGAAAATAAAGAGCTAAAATACAAACCCTTTCAAGGCATAAGCCATAATTACTCTGAAGACAGTATAGCCCACTCTGAAAGAGCTATATTCTTAATCTAAATATCCAACACGGTAGAAAGTTAAACACAATTCCAGTTACCTCTGCACTGCCAGTTACATGTAGCAAGCAGTTCTGGAATAACAATTTCACTCTCAAAGTTTAACTAATTTCTAAGTTAGACTTTGGAACCAGATACAGACCTGCTGACATGAAGTCCTTCTGAAGTACTCTCAGTCTATTAGCACTTTCCTTAAATTACACTATGGGACAACTAAGTTAACTTGTTTTCTCAAGAGCAAAGAGGGAGCCCTCAAAAGTCAGGAAGAGCACAAAGGCATTGTAAGAAATGGCTGCCTCCTTTTAGCTCCTGCCTAGGGATATCCATAAGCTTTTCCAGCCTGAACCATAGAGGACAGCCCTCCAACAGTCTCAGGGGTGGCTCTTCTATCACACTCTGCTCAGAGAGGGCTCACAGGGGAGACACCAGAAGATTTAAGTGGTCTCTGAGTTCAGCTTTAAGCCCCACCTGACCAAGAAGCACGAGTTCAGCCCTGCAAAGCAGAATAAGGGAAAAAAAGCAAGCAGGACTCTCCAAGCATCTGAACACAAACTACTCCTTCCAGAGTCAGGTGGCCCGAGACTTGGACCAGAGCTCTAATACACATTCAAAGGCAATCGTCCAAGCATCTGAACACAAACTAACACCTTCCAGAGTCAGGTGGCCTGAGACTTGGACCAGAGCTCTAATACACATTCAAAGGCAATCAGAGAAAGTTCCACGTTTAACCCTGATCTCTGGCTGCACACGCCTGAACACAGACTGGCAGCACTGGCAGGCCCACCAACAGTTAACTTTAATAGCAAGAGGAGATAAGAAAATTCAGTACACCAAGTGGAATCTCAAGCACAGAAGTAGCCAAGTATCAGCAGCTTCCCACCTACCCTTCGAGTCACAGCAAACAGAGCTCTCTCATTATCCTCCCATGCCCTACCCCACCTCCCATCCCTCAATTTCAGGATATATACCAAACAAAACATATACTTCATATTCCCAGAACTGCAGGATTAGAAAAATACTTGGCATTTCAAATTTTCCCTGAAGTTGCTTTAATAAGTTACATGTAAGATATTTTACTTTCCACAGCAGAAAATAGAAAATTCAATAATCAAAGTGGCTAAAAGTTGAAATAAAATGCTGTGAATCTGTTTGGCACAAACAGGCCTGCTGTCATTGCTAAAGAGCAAATCTGTTGACATTGAATATTTTAACACAGTGATCGGCTCCACAACTTGCAAGCTGCAACCACTTGCTGCTGTTCTCATCATTATGTCCAGCTCTGCCTGCATGATGTCTCCAACATAAGCGCTTCACAGCAAGAACATGGCTTTGGCTGCAACACAAAGAAATCCATACGTAACTGCAAAATGTTAAACACAGTTGGGCATGTGAGTGTAAACATCAACATTCATGTAATTAGTACTCTTCAGTTAACACTACCAACTGAGGAAAAACTGACTTGTGACAACCAGCAGGTATTAAGTTCTTATTAAGTAGGGTCATTAACACTAATGACATTTTATCCTCTCACTCATCAATAATTCAAACAGCTATTGATTTTCAGTTTTACCACATTAAGCTGGAGGTCAAGTATCTCAGTTACTTAGATATGACAGATTTCTGGCTTTTAGCCTGTGCTTTCCTGTTATCTGGTGTCTCTTTCCCATTCACTGCAAGCACACACAGGCCAAAGTCGCCATCAACTTCCATTTCTGTTACTATCAATGCCAGTGTGTGATAGAAGAACCCAGGGGAGTGCTTCAAGTGAAACATTCCAAGTCTCTCCACAGAGTCTCTCTAGCTGTCACTGCAGCAGCCCCACACACAGCTTGTCATTCCTTTGGTTTCTGCTGGAAGCTGCTCACGAAAGCTTGCTGTCACCCACTCCTAAGTATTTTGCTGATATAGCGAACCTTTCCACTCTCTCTTCAGTGTTTTCCATCACATTTATGACTATAGATAAAGCTTGTTTAAGTAGGCCAACAAAGGGTAATACTTCCCAAAGTTTTTGCATAGCATGAGGTATTTTGGGGTTTAACCCCCCTCTGGTTTTTGTTCTTATCTGTTGGAAGGTTTTTAACACATCTAAATAACTAATATATTTATTTCTGGGTTTTGCTTCAAGCCATCTTTAAACTTTCAGGGATCAAACTTTTCCTAAAAGGATAACAATTTTTGATATAGAAATAAACTAGATTCATACATTTTATACTAAAAGAACAGAACCCCAGCACTGTTAGTCTGAAGAATAGTATTTCATTGCTTCTAACTCACTTCAAAAGACATACCTGTTACCTATCTCAACACCTGTGGTCCAGTCAGCCAGTGCTGGTTCTTTCCCACTTTGCTTCCATGTGTACAAGATAATCTTCCCATTCTCTAAGCCTACTGCAACAATGTATCTATCAAGAGAATAATTACATTCATTTCATTAGAAATTACAGTAAAGAGTTCAGTGAGGTCAGTTCTAATGCAGGGTAGAAAGAACAGCACTCAAGCACTGTTGTTGTACCTTGCCCTTTAAATCAGTATTTACTTTTCCATTAAAAAAATTAATACATCAAAGATGCTTCACAAAAAAATTAGCAAAGCAGAAACCTGCTACATCTGTGTGGTTAGGAAAAAATAAGGAGGTTATCACAACATCAGATCAATCGATATTTTTGGAAGAATGAATGTGTTTCAGGTGTGTTCATGAATCTCTCCCTCCCCTCTCCCACTTTAATTTTTCTCATTACACTGCTTGGAGAAGTCACCATACACCTGAAAAGGTGGCTAGGAAAGAAGAAAGTAGAGGTCATTCTGTTAAAAAATGGTCAAAACAATTGCCAGATAGATTTAGGGAGCTGTTTAGCTGCAGGAAACTAGTTGACTAAAGGGATAAATACTAATTTCAGATTAAATACAAAATGACAATACAGGAAACCAGCAATACCTTCCATCAGGAGTAAGCACACGGCTGATACCAACAGCAGTCACAGAATCCCCAGCATCCAGCACTGTTGAACAAGGCTTGATTGAATCCAGCTCATTCCCTTCAGTAATTGCTGGCAAATCACACTGGCCCCAGATAATGACCTGTAAGAAAAAGAGTCATCTATGAACTTACACTTCCATCTTCCTGTAAATGCCCGTACAAAAACATAAGGAATAACTTCATTAAAATAATTTCAGGGCACAGTGGGTGACCCTAAACATGGTAAAAAAAACTCTACCTACAAAGATTTGACTTTGTAGGCAGTCTGTCTGATTTCATTAAAGTTACTGACAACAAAACCAGATTCTGTTATGAAAGTTAAAGAAAAACTTGAGACCCATAGAATTATGTGACATATGCTTGTCTTACTGCATGAAAAAAGAAGGGAGAATGTCCAACTGGCAGCCCACAGTCTTGTATATACATATTCAAGCATTTTATTTAGCTTATGAAAGTATCACTGATTTCTGTGCTAATACATGCAATAAGATATTTGTGTATATATAAAATAGGAGCTCATTAGAACACAGTGTTTGTTATTTAAAAGACGTTGAAAACAAATCTGAGCTTTCTGAATTCCTTTAACATTAATTACCTTTTTGTCCCGACTACCAGTAATAAAATACTTGCTATCTGGTGTCCAATCACAGGACCAAATGATTCGACTGTGAACAGCTGTATTTTTATCTGTGTATGCACAGCAAGTGAAGACCGGTCCTGGAATAAAACATGTAGAGGAAAAAGCCTTGTTTCAACAACTTTACACATCAAAAGTGTTTGTTACTCTTAACTCGATGTCAGAACTGCAAGAATACTTTGACATTATTCCACTCATCTTTAAAGCAACTGGGAATACTTAGGACTATATGAGGTTTTTCCCAGCACTTACTACAGTGATAACTAGCACCTGGTCAAACAGTACCAGTAAGCCCTTATAGCCCTAAAGCAGTAGGAACACTTCAATCTTTTAAATGCATTTCTTTTTCAGAAGAATTTAAGTATAATACTTTGAGGTTATTCCTGTCAAGTTTTTTTTAAGAACACTGACTTCAGAAGTCAGTTTACCTTGTGTTCACATTTCCCCAGTAATTTCACTAAAGCTCCTTTTTACCAGTAAAGTACCAACGGCTCAAATCATAATGGCCCAATTGTAAAGATTAATGTGTTCCTGAAGAGACAAGCTTATATTTCAGCATGTATACAATCAGGCACTATATCTGATCAGCACATCAGTAAATGAGAATGCTTTTCCTAAGTAGAAAAGGTTGTAATTTTGGAGCATGGACTTTAAATAACCACTTACTGGGATGCCAATAGCAGCAGTTTTGCTTTACACTATGATTTGCTTTACATAATGATGTTATTTGTAGACAGAAGGGTTATTGATGAACAGATGAAAAGAGGATTTCCTCTACTTGCTATGAGTATTCATGATCCTTATCCTGAACCATTGTGTAACTACTGTAGACAATATGCCAGGCTTTAGAACAAAAGTCTGAATAGAACAGAAATTCAAGCCAGGATACAACTGGACACTGTCTGAAGAGGCCAAAACTCACTGCCAAGTCTCTAGGAACATTCTATAGAGCCCAGCAGTGTTTATATACTATTAAGCCAAGAGTGCAATGATAATCGCTTTCAGCACAAGCATCTGTTCTAGGATTCTATTAAAGTGTTCAATAGCAATCTCCTCATGATTTTGCAAGGCTCAAAGTCTTAATGAGAAAGTCAACTGAATCCTTACTATCAGCTCTTTTTCCAGACATAGCCAGTTCTAGTCAAATTAATCAATTGTGTAGGATTATCAGAAAGCCACACCAAAGACAGAGATTAATCCTGTCAAGAGTCTCAAAGTGTCATGCCATGCAAGGCAGCCTATGCAGGATTTGGGTGCAGCACTGAACCTTCTGGCTATGCCTGCACAGAACTCTGCAATGAAGGCTCTCCTTGACAGAATGCCAATCTGAAGTTCAGCTAGTGTACTTAATTTCAGTAAGTCAAGTATACAATCACATGCAGAAGGCAGGAGGACTTCATTACATCCATCAATTAAACACCATCTAAAGCCTCATTATAGTCTTCTCTGCATTTTAATTTCATTTTTATGTTTCCACACATTAATTGCATTTCTTAAATTCACAAGAGCCTACAACACTAATAATTCTTTAACGTTGCATGCAAAATGTTAATTAAAATATTTTATCAATTCTCTTTGAAATATTTTGCAGCCAAAAATACTGAACAAACAACCAAGTCTACAAACACCTATATCCATTTTATGTATTTTACCTGACTCTGAGGAATCCTGTTTCCTCCACAGTGACCAATTCCTGTCTCGAGAAACAGCCAGTAAAAAGCTGTCATCAGGAGAAAATGCCAGCTGAGTAACAGTCAGATTGTGAAAAGACAAACTCTGCAGTTTCTTCCAAGAAGTAGTGCTCCACAAAATAATTGCTGCATGTTCTTTTTTGGAAGCCTGTATGGATAGAAAAAAAATATCAGAGCAAATTAATGAGAGCAAGAATAAAAGTCACACATTTCAAAGCAGTGAGATATTAGACAGCTTGTTTTTAGGCTTGCAAACCAGTAAGACCCAGCTTTCCTCTGGGAAGTTTCAAGATTGTTTCCCTACTTTCTTCTAATGCTCATGATAGATCAGTAAGAAAACATTTCAGACCTATATTTGTTAGAATTTATCTTACTAATATCTTCAAATGAATCACACACAATTTAGGAATAATAACTCATTGGCAATCCACCCTCACCTTTGCAAGCCAACTGTCACTTATACAAAATCTTTCACATTTTGTGAAAGAAGAGAATTCAGCCCTAGAAATCAGACAGCACTTTTCACTAGGTGGTGCTAGAATCTTTTCTTACCTTACATGCTGAGGCAATTACAGTGTTTGAATTATTGCAAGCAACACAAAAAATTTCATATCCATGTCCATATCTGAAATATATGTGAAAACAAATTTAACACATCATAATCATTTTTGCAGTATGTTCCAAAGTTGTCATATTAATTTAAATCCCTTTTCAAAAATGAAAGGCACCTGGCCAAGAACGCTCTCCACTGCTTCTGTATTACATCCCAAATAATTTGTTCAGCTTTCAGTTTAAACATCTGCACAAATTCTTCCATTAGAAACTGGCTACAGGAAAATCTCTCCAGCCCATTCCATAGTCTTAAAGCATCAGCACTGCAAAAACCACCCTAATGACTAACAAAGCAGATTAAAGCAGCATTTAATGTATCCTTATTTTCTTAAAAAGCAATTTAAACACTACCAATAAAGATCATAAGCCACATATTTGAAAACCACTGAAGAAATATGCCACAAACACACAGTCAAAGGATGCCTATTCTGTGAAATACTGCAAGAAGATTTCTGCACTAAAAGACAAGCATAATGTTAGAAAAGGAAAAAACCTCTGTAAAACCCCAAATATTTCTAGCCTTCTCCAGAAATACATTTTTTAATCAGTCTTCATGAGTTCTGCTGAAATCCAAGCTCACATATCCAGACTGATATTTAACTAATAAGGAGAAATTCCATACAGACTAATCCAAATTAAAATCAGTCACAAAAAAGACTGCAAGTAAAGTAAAATTGGAGATGTAACCTATGAACAGTAGACAAATACCAGCTCAGTACCAGCTGGATGGGGTGGTTTCCTATGATTCTCCTAGTTCTGAAGAGATAAGCAGCTCTCTTAATAAACTCCTTGGTCAGCAGTGTTAACTTCTTACATGGCACTGATGTTCATGGGATTTCACTTGCAGCCAGAACAGCCTTAAATGGCAAATTACTGTCCAGATCTGTTGAACAGAGTTCAAAGCATCATCACTGGGCATATCCCATCAGCAGACTGCCAAAGCCAGGTCTGAAGACTAGAAATGCACTGGCTTTTTTGAAATCTAACTGTGCCTGGACCTTTTAACAGGGAGAGGGACTGGTGTGTACCCCTAATTGAAATGTTAAATTGCGAATTTGAGTGTGTCTTATAACGATGAAGGTACTACTGCATGTCTTACTCTTATTTTGCCACCAGCACGAGTTTTATTATAATGTTTACTTTTAAAGCACATTCCTGGAGACTGTTTTATAGTGAAAACCACTGCAAGCCAATTTTCTAAAACAAACAATATGTATTGTATCAAAAGTATAAATTTCACAAAATTCAATGATGGGAAAATAACCTGTGAAACAAATCCTCAGTTTTTTTTTGTTTAGTCTCCTAAAAGTAGTATTTGAAGAGCAGTTGATTTCAAGCTTCTGCATGCAATGCTTCTTTTGCTAACTTGAAATGTCAAAATGTAACCATTCTTACTAAATTAACAGAAAACATAAAATACTGTCTCTTGCCACATCAGTAGGACTATCCTAGGTCAGACCAGCAGCTGTATAGACCATTACTGTCTCCAGTAAAGAGAACTAAGCTATTGGCAACAGAAGATGCTGTTTGAAAGGAGGGTATACGAGTCTTGACAGCATAGGAGCTACAATATAGTCCCATCGTCTGATCCCATTTAAAAAAATCGGATTTCTTCACTACACAGTACACCACCAAATAAAGGTTCACAATGGAGAGAAGTAACTGCATGAATGAATAATGAAATTATATTTTCAACCACAGGCAATTTTGCCTCAGCACTGTACAATGCACAGCATTTTTTAATGCACAGGTAGACTGAATGGACTTTCAGACAAATGAATACAGTAATTTTCTAGTGTCAAAAAGGATCTCTTCCAACTTCCAAGTGTATAACATGAAATGTACATACAGACAAACATATATATTTATGTGAACACTCAAGCTTTAATCTCAGCATGCTACTTATGAACTCTCTATGATAATTTTCCAAGGGGATAAAGATTAGCATATTCTCACAAGATTTACCATATTTTTAAAGTTATTATATTATATAAAATATTCAGCCAGTTCTTCGTACTAAAACCTCCTCAAGCAAACGCTTTGCAAAACCCCACACTAATCCTTCAAAATTTGGTGTCAAGTTAGAGCTAGGAATACACAAATGTCAATGACAAACGAGCTATTTTTAGCAAGTCAGTACCTCACACTGTTCTTCTGCTGCTATGGCAACTTGAAATCTACATTATGCGATTTCATGTTACTTCTTTCAAGATTACTCTGACCAAAAAATCTGAAAGTCTATGAATGCTTTACATCTTGTTGCTCTTGCATAAAATGATCTATATCATTAGCTGTGTCTCTAAAACCAGAAAAAAAATGCTCAGATAAAAGTCATCTGAAGACTGTCATAAAACAGAGTTATTTTAATGAATGCAGGATATAAAGGCAGATAAGCAGTACTCCCATAGCAGAGTATAAAATATTCATGTCCCACTAGACTTTGTGAAATGTCAAAGGCAAATGATGAAGAATTTTGGCCTTGGCTCCTTTTCACTACTTAAACATCCCTTATCAATCTACTTATGTGAGTGCAGCCATAGAATGCATAGAAGAAATAGTTAAAGTTAGAAATTACAAAATGTGCAGATATGGTCTAGCATCCACTGGCTTTCCTCCTAAAATCATTTTTGACTACAAACACAGTAACAGATCTTAAAAGCATTCAAAGCAGATTTACTGCCCAATTGACAGCAAAGATGAACTCCCACAGAACTTCCCCCTTGGTCCAATGAAAGCAAGCTGCATATCATTCTCCCAAAGCTTCTTATTCCCTTCCTCATAAAACTGGTAATGTAACTGTAATGTTCCTTCCTCAGAAAAGTGGTGACTTTAACCATCAGCAAAGGCTCAACAATCTTCTTGTTCCAGACTGAGACCCCTTTCAGGAGATTCAGATAAATAAACCCACAAGAGATTGAGATTATTCAATTTCTTTGCGTTATACTTTGATACTAAAATTTTAAAGATTTTTAAAGTATAGCCTCATGTTACTGGGATCCTTGAGGAACAAATCATGAGACAACATTCATGTGAAAATTGTTGTGAATTTCAGAAAAGGAAGAAAACACAGCTGAAGAATTCTAAAACCCTGCAACCTCAAAACAATTATCCTGACCATGTAACTCCATTATCTTTGCAACTGACAACCATTCTGTCAGCATTCAATACTCAAACTAGCCTTGTAACCATCTTACTCAACACTTATCACTTTGCTCTACCACTACACACACTAGTTTGGCTGCTGGCTCCATCTATTGCACCTTACAACTCTGACAGGAGTTAGGGGCAAGCTCCTCCATTGATGCCTCAGCCCCTACTTCCATCTGCATCTGCAAGCCTATGCCATGAAGTGGAAAGCAGCAGAAAACTCCTTACACAGAGAGACCTTCAGTATAGACAAAGCTTTAAGGAGAAAAAAACCAACTAAAATAAAACTGTGACACATCAGTTCTAATGGCCACTTTCTTCACTGCTTCCTAATTTTTTATATATATTTAATTTCTTTATTTTACAAGTAATACAGCACACACAAGTAAAATTACATAGTAAAATAGGAAGAGTTACAAGACTAGGCTACATTGACATGTTGCAACAGCTTTCTGGAAATTTTGTAACACAGAAGAGATAAAAAATAAAACTTACAACTTCTGAATTTCAGGCCATAAGGTATTCTGCAGCAAGTGATCCTCTGGTGGAGGTTCTAAAAAAGATTTGTACAGCCTACTCAAATTTGATTTTTTCAAATCAGCTAAATAATGCTTCAATTTTATATTCAATGAACCTCATTCTCTATTATCTATAACAGAAACAATTCTCATACCTGTAAGGACCAAGGGTTGAAAATAAATCTCTGGATACTGATTTGAAATGCTATTAAATGATTCTTCATCCTCATCTGGTTGAACAGCCATATCTCCTATTAAAATAAGGACTTCATTAGGTAGAGAACATACTAGAAAGGAGGGAAAATATGAGGATTTATTATACAAGTAAAAAAAAAATCTATATTTTTTACAAGTAGTCGAAACTAGGTTTCTCTGCTTGCAGAGTTACAATAATATGAATACTAGAAGCTAGTTATTCTAGTGCATATGAGAATGAGAAGGTTTTAAAAAAATACTAATCTAACCTTCATTTTGAAACTGACCTCTCTCCATCAGCACAATCTTTCAGAGATTCCTAAAAATAATTTCACTGTGCAAAGCAGTCATAAGAGCTCAACCTATGTTTCCCTAGTGTTAAACCTTTCTTTCTGTATCTGAAAAAGTTTAAGACAAAAATCTCTGATACAAGTGATGAGTTCCTAAATGTGATGTAGAATCACTAAATGAAAACCCGTATTTGGGCAAATGTAGCTACAACTTGCAAACTTCAGCAAAACTGCTGAGGGCTCAGTCATTAGCTTTAGGCAAAAGTATCAGAGGTAACCAAAACTATTAATTGTAAGTTAAAATTCAGCTCTGTCCTTCATTGACCTTCATTGTGAAGGTATTAAGAAAAAGGTACAGAGATGGGGAACTGTCCCTCCCAGGCAGAATCTACCTTTTTGCCAAATATACCTCTCAAGTACAGCAGTTTCAAAAGGAAGGTACAGAAAAAGCAAAGCAAAGACTACAGTCTCATTCATCCCATCTTTGCTCTCTTTGAAAATGAAATGAGCAACATTCATCTGAGAGCCCTGTCTGACCACCAGGAAGATTCCTCTGCAGAGTGAGATCACGTCTGTGGTATTTTACCCTAAGCCATCAATGCTGACAGCACTGTGTGAGCAGTGGTGGACAATGCAGGGAAGTTCCTTCATGGTGCTGCCTCAGGTTGGGCCACATGAAATCAATGGAAATTAGTTATTCTGTGTGTGGCAATAATTTAGAAGAAGGAGGTTTTGTTCCCTCTCTCATTGGAAGAATTCATGAGTTAGCAGGGGAAAAAACTTTGCCAAAATATATTTTACAAGTTATTTGAAGTACAACCCAGTTGTTTTTTCTCTACAAGTTATTTAGGAAAATTTGGCTTATTGCCATTGAAGACCCTGGAGACAAAGCTTATTAAAATGCTTCCTTTTGTAGATCACACCTTCTGATAAAGCTTTAGGCAGAGAAAAAAAAAACAGGTCTGACCTAATTTGTACATTCCACTATAGTGCATTTTTACCAGAGACTTTATAAAAAACCAGATCCCTGGTCTCATTCTCAGAGTCAGGAAAATACCTTTTATCATTCTAGGGAGATATCTGTCCCTCCTTCCCTGCTCCCCCTCAATGTAATCTCCATTGTCTCTCCAAGATATTAGCTACTTTGGCTAACTAATTCTTCCTTACTCGTGTTTTTTTACTTCAAAACACCACATGTAGGTGCTAGCAAAGAAATAAATACTTTGCATTATTTTGTTTCTAGATTCTGAACTTGCAATCAAGCCTACACTTACAGACCTAACATGTACTAAAACAATCTATCTATGCTAAATAAAGTTTCCACACGAAATGCCACAACCATTATTTCTCACTAGCAATACCTTCAAAAACAGCTTTATTGGATAATCCCAAAGCTGGCACAGTTGCACCTTCTGGAAGATCAGACTGCTGAATAAAAGAAAAAAGAAAGGTTACACACAGATTGTCACACAGGCTTGGATTTCAAAGGCCACAGCTTAAGGAATCCCTGAGAGTTTCTAAAGTTACTTTCCTAGAGAAGTGAAGGAGGCACTTTGAAAAACTCTTGTCTAGAACATACCCTGACAAAACAAAGACCAGTACTCTGGAAGGAAAGGGGAAAAAAACAACAACAACAAAAAAAAACAACCAAAAAAGCACTTTTCTAAGCTTTTCTAAGGCCCCTGCTCAAGGATTTTCTTCAACGCAAATTGCAGGTTTTCTTCCACAATTATATTTATTCTAGCACATACATGACAATTAATCTATTAACTGAGAGCACTGCAGTTTTTAACACAATAGAACTGGGAAATCGTTGTTCTGAAGTGAAATAATAAAGCAGCATTTTGGAAAAGAGAACAGAGGGTGACTGCCTGTGACCACAACTTAAAACACAGCTCAGTAAATAGTACTGAGATGTGGCTGGAATATGTGTCTGTTCAAAGCAGCACAAGGGAAAGACAAATCATCAGAGAGAAAATAGCTCCATAATGGTATAGGAAAAGAGTAAAAGTTTAGAAAGGGTAAGTGAACTTGGGGACCTTTGTGCAGAGATAAAAAAAGATTTAATAGCTGTAAACCCACTTCCTTATGGTATCAGAAAAGTTCAAAGCGAGATTGTTTTACTGAATTAAATCAATATTTTAGCTAACAGCTTAAAATATACTTAAATGTTCATAATTAGATGAGAAAACGTATCAGAGACCCAGACAAGCATAAGTCCTCTAAAACAAAAATGGTTCCTCATTACAACCCCAAGTATAATACAATCCTATGGATTTGAACTGAATACAATCCTATTCAACCCTTTTAGAATATAAAACTGTTTTTTGGTTTCAGGTACTTTTTTGGGGAAGGCATTTAAGCCACATTAAGAAAAAGCTTCCCTGCTTTAGTGATAAAAAGCTTTCACACAAAACAATTTAAAGAAAGCTATTTAAAAGCAGCTATATAATTAGAGCTCATAAAGCCTTCCTCTTTAACCAAAGCCGATGCGAAACACTTTGTGATATGAATCAAAAAACAGCACTCAGAGGAACAGCCAATAAGAAAAGTCTAAATAAAGTAAAATAATGACATCTGCCACCCTTGTAAAAGCACGATGTTATTTGTACAATGGTCATTAATGCAAATGCTTACGAAGTCTTGTGGAATTAAAGCACTAAGCAGCTACTTATGTAACTTCTTACTACCAAAAATGATTCTATTTCTGTTCCAGATATTTCAATTGTTAAATTAATGGAAAGGCTAATCCATCTCTAAGAAACTGCACAGAAAACCCTGCTTTTGAGTGAGATATACAAAGAGCAAGACACTGTACAGAGGCAACTATCTTGAATAAGGTCTGCTCTACAAAATGCAGACAAAATCAGAATTAAATAAACCTTAATGCAAATGGGGAGCAAACAAAGGATAGCAGCACAGGACAGCTGACATACCCATAAAAGAACTGCAATGTAAAGGCCTCAAGAAAACTTCCAATGCCAAGAGGAACTAAAGCATGAGCCAGTACATATTTATAAATATTTGCATGCAAAAACTAAAACTAGTGCTGAAAGCTTCATGCCATTTCCAAGCATGCAATTGCAAAAAAAAAAAAAATAGACAATAATTAGAATTTCCCTTTAATTTCCCTTAAATTAAAGGGAAACACATTAAGAGGCTTTATTGTTTGTTTAATCCCCAAGGGTGTAGAGTGGTCTACTTTGGCTAGGTAAGACTACTACACCCTTAAATTAAAGGGAAACACATTAACAGGCTTTATTGTTTGTTTAATCCCCAAGGGTGTAGAGTGGTCTACTTTGGTTTGAGTTACCTAAAATTACCCACACTGTTTTCAATCTTTTGACACAAGATCCTGTTTGGTTTCAATAGAACCTGTTTCATATAACAACACCATAAAAATACATATGAAACAATACACATGGAAGTAAGCAGAAGAGAAATTAAAAACAAGGTTACGGTTTCAGTACAACTAAAGAATTTTTACAAAGTTTAGTGCAATCTGACTTTTTCAGAAGCATTAACTCATTTTACATCTAACAGGGTTCTCTTCGCATACCATTGCTTTAGGATACTTACATGTGAGCAGAGCTTCTCCATTGGGATACCAGTGATGTTACTGAAGTTTTCTATAAAATTCTTGGGAGCACGAAAAACCCGAAGCACTTTTTCATCTGCTCCTGACACGAACTCAAACCGGCCGATCATTGCCAGACAGCGCAGGTCGTACCCGTGTACTTGAGGCCTGGCAATTTCATGCCACGTTACCTAAAAATGAGCAGACACACAGCTAAAAAAACAATTCTTAAACAGAGAAACAGCGCAATTTCCAAAAATTTCCCAATTTCCAAAAAAGCACCACTACCCACTTGCTGGATTTTTTAACACAAAGCAAAGTTAAGAGCAACCTTCTACTAATATGCATAAAACTGGTGCTCACATACATCAGCTGAATCCTCTTTTTCCACCAAATCATTCCTGTAATTAGTAAACTGTGTCCCTGCACAGATACGTTTAAGGCACTTGCTGTGACTTCTTCATGCTAGATAGTCAGGAATAGAACATAATTTGCCTAAGTAAAAAGAGGTTTGTATCCTACCATTTCCAAGACTGTAGGTCTGAAAGACCTAAGAAAGGTAGTGATAATTATCCTGCTTCCTTCATCTGTCTTTCACAAAGAACAGCAGCATTGCTGTCAGCAGGCTACAGGTTCTTCCCTCTTTTCTTTAAGTATTTCATTCAAGCAAGACCATTTAATAGAAGCTTTGCAGAAAACTGACAAAACCATAACAGATTCAGTGTCATTTGCTATTTCACCCAGATGATACCTCAGTTGGAAAAATGCAGTGTGTACTTTTGAGTTTAGAGCTAGCAGAACCAGAATTAATTGAAATAACTTAGACTACTTCAGTATTCCAATGCCTATAACCAAGACTAGATATCATATGAGTATAGGCAAAGGCATTATATTGACTCTAAACTGCACATATCACCCTAAAAACTCAATTGAGTTTTAAATGTTGAAGTTTCTGATAGGACCTGAATGGGAATTTGAGACATCCTACAAAACCTCATGATTTCACAAGGGCTTGATTATTTTTCAGTGAGGAAAAAAGCATTCATTCTTAAAAAAAATATATAAAATCAAACAGTGCAACAAGCCCTTCTTACCCTTTACTGGGTACATCTTTGCATACAACACAAAAAACTCAAATCCCAAACGAAGACAGGGTTATGTAAGTCATGCAATAAGCTTTTTCCAGAAAGATCAGGATGGAAATTTGCATGACAAATTGAAGCTGATGGTTATCCCTCTTTTCTGATATTCTGATATCAGAACTGAGACTTTAAGAATTTGCATTCCACACTTAGTTTCCTTTTTATAGGGAAAAATGTGAGCTGTAATACTAACTTTCCATAAACACCTGAATCATCCATTGTGTCTTGTTAAGACAAAATCAGATGTCACCTGTTGTAATTTTTCAGCTAAACTCAGTGTGATAAAGAGAGGCATTTTAAAAGCCTGTTATTCAAGTTCATGAGCAGCAGAACTAAAAACTTATCCAGGGTTCAGAAATCCTCAATAAACATCTTCAAATGACCCATTTCTATTCCAACCCTCCACTTCACCCAACCAAAAAGGATTCTAAGGCTTTCTCCCACACCTCATGCAGCAGCAAATCTTGAAACTACTTAGATGTACACCTGGTCAAATTAGCCTGGTGGCTGCTCCGTGTCAGAACAGGAAAGCAAAGTACAAGAATTCAGTTCATGCCATATTTAGATATGAAGACTGCAATCACTCTGCTGAACTGATTGATTCACAAGTTTCAGGGTGAGCTGTGCAGGTAAATCATACAAAGATCAGTTCTTTCAGAAGACAGGATTAAAATTTAGCAAGCAGCATACATAATAGTGGTACTTCAGTAAGTCACAGAGAAAGTGACATTGACAACCCTTGAATGCTGCCGACTTACATCATGTGCTAGTCCTGAACTTTGTTTTGATATATTTAATGTATCCTCCTGAGTGGAGATTAGGGTAGAAAGCAGGGAAGGAAACTGGAACTATCCTTCCTAGAACAAAAGGCAAAACATATCTCTTGAAATAGGACTGCCACCACTCCTGTCTGGCCTGGAAGAAGGAAATCAAAGAAGTGATGGCAAATCAACTCTGTCAGAAACACCAGACCTCCTGTACTGGTCTGCATTACAGAAGCTTTGATGAGAGCTGTAATAGCCTCCCCAGCCAATGGCACAGGGCCTTCTATGACTACAGTCACTCCAGTTTCTGCCAGTCTCCTGAATGGAATATTGATACTGTTCTGCCAGAAAAGGTTGTATTTGTAGATGAGGAAAATGCATGAGAAACAAGAAACAGGAACTTCTGCATTCCTAAACAGACTTTTCCCCAACTCAATGCAGGAGGAGTGAGCAAGCAACAGTGTGCAGTTGCTGGCTGGGAGTTAAAACAGGACAGATACCAGCTGCACTCATGCAGTTCAGATAATCATTCCAGTAAAACAGTGTCATTAATAAATTAATGTAAAAAAATACAGTGAGAACTTCATTTAGATTGTTAGTGTAAAAAAGCACAACCAAAGCTGAGTTACTTTATTATTACCTGCAGCAGTGTAGCCAATTGTTAAACACTGCAATAGGTGGTTATCAGTACCAGACACGTATTCCTCCTTCTGAATTACTGCAGAGTCTGTTTTCCAAGACTCTGGGAGAACACTAACTGAAGGTAATCTGGACATGGACTCAAGATTGAACTGCAATCATACTGTGTGATTAAAAATACTAGTGGCAGAGTTTTTGCAAAGTGAAAACAGCACGTACTCAGTTACCAAACCAAGCAGTTTTAAACAGATCATTGCTTGGGGAACTTTAAGGTTTGAGTTATATTTAGAGAAGTCATTCCAAACTCAGGACTGACCAAGCCCCCTTAACCACACTCACAAAATCTTTGAAGATCATACCTCTGTTTCTTCCTTTCTTTTCCATGGAGCAAAGAGTCTTGTAGTTTGGTCAGAGCCCACACTGATGACAAATTCTCCTTCTGGATCCCACTTCACATCTTCTACACTGTTAAAATGTCCTGAAATCACAACTTCTGGTGTCCATTCTTTCTATGAGAAGAGTTTCACAAAGAAGTAAGAAGTTCTTCATTTGACTGATTGGCATTTGACTAATTTTAAGCACAATAAAACTATAAACGTGCTTATTAAGAAAAAGACATTGGTAAACAGCAAATTATTAGAACTCAAGAGAGGCTGAAGAGAAACAAATACTAATGTATTGCTCCCATCTGAAAGAAACTTAAGTGATTTGTTCAGCTGTGAAAAAAAAACAACCACAAAGGAGTTCAATCTATTCAACTGACTTCATGATCCCAACAGGTAAGAAACAGGGTTTAGAGCCTAGAGGATTTCAGGAATGAGACTCCTACAGATTATTACATTCAGAAAAGGACCATTTCAAACACTAATTTTAAATTATACTGTTACACTTTTCTATTAATAAAAGAAATTTACCTCAAATTACTTAAAAGTACAATTCTTTTAAGTCATACTACTAACAAAAAAACCAACATACCTTGTCAACTGTAGCCTGTTTCCAAAGGTGTAGTGCTCCATGAAAAGCATGAGCGATGATCATCGAACCATCTGGACTAAACTGGCAGTCAAAAAATCCAAGAGTATTGCCACCCACTTCACCTACCCGCACCTAAATTAATGAACAGAAGTGAAACATACATGAAAATGGCCTTCCACTCCTACAAAATCATTCTTACTTCATGAGATGAAAAACTACCACTAGACAAGAGTTCACATTACACACACAAACACATTTGAAGAATATTTTAATTGCAAAGTTAAGCACTGAAATGTCATGGGAATTAAAGCTGCATGCCAGTTGAATGGATCCTCCCTTCATCAACATCAAGGTAGGATTCCCCCAAGGGAAAGAAAACACTGCAATAGATGAGATGCAAACCCAAATGTTTTGTGTTTCAGTCCAGCTTGTTGGATGCAACAATTCTTTATCATCTGTTGCCTGATTAGTGCTCTGTTTCACAATAAAGAAAAATTATCCAAAGAAACAATAATTCCCAAGTACATTCTTTTTTCCTACCCAATTTCCAAGATTCCCTAGCATACTGTCACTTCCCTGTTTCTCCATGAACAGCTGCAGTGTGATCCACACTCCTTCTGTGGCATATTCTGGCCTCTGTTTTGTGCTTCTCTTACAACTTCTCATATATGCACACACACACACATAGGCCTTACAGTTGCTCTAGTGCCCTTCCACTTTTTAAATTTTATTAAAAGATTAATCAAGTTACATTTTCAAGTTCTATTCGTTCTATTCAAGACATAAGACCACAATTTCTTTCAAGATTTCAACTCCCCCATTCTTACACTCTTTTAAGACCAAACCAAAATGAACCAATGTCCCATTTTAAATGGCACTGCACCAGTAGTTCCATCTTATTAGCACTCATTCACAAAAATACCATTCATATTGAAGTGACTTTGACATGCCATGCTAGAGGCAGAATTCTAGTCTCACCTCTGAGCAGGGGAATGAATTTCTGAAGACATCTTGTTCATCATATCATGATGAAAGAGAGAAACTGGGATGTTCCCCTTGTGCCCTTCCTCCCTGCAGGCTTCCAGCTCAGATTTTCCTATCTTGATGCAAAATGGATTTCTGCAGTTAAAATATCTGATCTGAACTTGAAGCTACACATTTGTGGTCAAACCAATGCGAAGAGAATGTAAAATTAAAGAATCATAACTTGCAACAAGCTTTACTACACAATCCATTTTTAGAAGCTTGTGAATTTAGCCACAACTACCTGTTACACCTAGGGACATCAAATGGCATCTCTATGTGATTGCCCTTTTGTGAACTAATTTCTACTTTAAACACAAAGGCATGGGAATTTTTCAATGAAACAGAGGAAAAATTAAATACCCTGATGTAATTCCCACTTTTTCACCCAAGAGACAATTGGAACTTTCTTTGTGACAGGAAAGACCACAAACAATGGGTGGCATAACCCAACACAAACAACTTCAACTGAACTACTTCAATTTGGAAAAGCAGGTCAACTGAAAAGACATCAATCAAAGCACTAGAGAAATGTGGTTGTACTACCTGTTTATTTAGGATGATCCACATCTGAACAGCTTTCAGAACACTACTTGAGTGACACATGAGTATTCAGCTCGAATGGAAAACCTCATGACACAGCCAATGATCAAGTTACTATGAGAAAAACCAGGCTTGTGAATTGCGTGTCGGCTGCTCTGTGGTAACTGCTTAGGTCACGTTCCCACAAGGATGAACTGCAAATAGCTCAAGAGGGTTTCCTCTTCCTCTTACCAGGAGCACATACCCTGCATTACTATGCAGCCCCTGCCTTGTACACTGAGAAAGACAGCTGAGCACAAACACTCCTTATAAACTCCTCAGTACAGTAATAAGAAACAAACAAGCAATAAAAATCGTATTGTATCCATTTTTTTAAATACAGTTTTACTCGCAACAGAGCATCAGAAGGAGTATTTTTGCAAGAAAACACTTTGCCTTTCTCTGCCAGAATTTTAGAGTTTTTGCTCCCTAAAGTACGCACATGATGCTGGAAACATAACTTGCATACAGCACATATTGTGAGAAAGATTGACACTTGCCTGTTCCAGCCAGACTCCAGATTCTTTATCTGGTTCCCAGATGATCACAGTTTTGTCCATTGATGCAGACAATATCCTCATTGGTTGTTGCATGCTGCCATCTACAGTACAAGGAAAATTATTACCCTACAACCTAGGAGCATATGTTGTGAAGAAATTAGGTAATACTGAAATATAAACACATTAAAAAATTGTTCAGCATCAGAGACATGCAATACATTTCTTATATGCCAAATTTACAGGCTCTACATTCTCGCCAGGCATTCTTTAGGAGATATTGTATTCTCAGCCATAATTACCCAAAGAAAAAGTAAAACACATAAATGAGAACAACCATATTCCAGTTTTCTCATCCAAACTTATACTGAATTAAATATAATTTGGAGGAAAAGCTAGAGTTTCACAAAGAGAATGCACAGCAGTTCTCGGTTCCATTCCTTAAGTAAGTTTTTACTGAGACATTTACAGTTTAAAATAATTGCCCAGTAGTCACTGTTTGGGATTTATTCCCAAATTGTTAGGTTTGCTACTGACTTCAGCAGACACTAGTGCCCTGTAGTACATACAGCAACTCAGGACTGCTCCCCAGAATGCAATGAAACACTCCAGAAAAAAAGCCCAACAAGAAATAAAAACAAAACAAAAAAAGACCAAAGAATGGGAAAGAGGGAGCTAGTTCATCACCAGTTGTGAAACCTGCAGGAAAATCATTGAGGAACCACTTTTCTTAAAAATAGAGATATTGGCAGGCATCTCATGAGGTGGTATGTTAGCAACAGACTTCCCATCTCACCTTCTGCACTGAGAATATGTCCCTCAGATCAGTCTGCCTCTAGTGAAAATCTATTTTAGGGAACCTAGCATTGGGTAGGCCACAGAACACAAGCAGCTTCACGTTTATGCAGAAGCACCTGGAAAACTTCATGGTCTAACAGGACAGTTTTCAGATTGCAGTGCAAGGCTGACAGGCCTGCATTGTGCCTAAACCTTGTTCTAAAAGGCTAAATATTTTACTGGCATCTAATTTAGAAAAAAGAGAAAAGTTTAAGGACCAGATAACTAAACCAATATTTTTAAAGCATGTCCTGTTGTGTCTTTCACTAAGTGTATTTTGACATTCTAGTGACACTCTGCTGTTCAAGTGCTGTATACACCAGCAAAGCTGTCCTTTGTACTGCTGAAGTCACCTGCCATCAGTAACTCTAGAATACATCAGAAAAAAAGACACCTTTGCAAGTACAAATAGTCAAGGGTGTTCTGACTGTGCAATGTCAAATCAAGAATCTCCTTCCCTTATGTCAGGTAGACACATAACAGCAAACCAGTACTGCAAACAAGGCTGTCAGAATTTAAGGATTTCAAAAGAAAGATAAATACTAGAGCAAAATGCAAAATTAAACTATAAATAACACTGTTTCAATGGGAGTTTGCACTAATGCCTTAAAGTTACATGCTTGAGAAAAACTGATACTCCAGGAATCTACATCACTAAAAAGAAAGGAGAGCTCTTGACAGTTCAAATACATATATCAAGGTAACCTATTAGAGCTATTAATTCTTACTGATTAATTAAACTATTTGTACACGATACCCAACAAATCAATTGCAATAAAGTCTTTACAGCTCTGTAATTTAATTTCATTCCTTAAAGAAAACTTGAGTACAAGGCAACATCTGTTTACTCATAAAACATTATTTGCAGAATTTAAAGACTGTCATCTCTACAGGAACAAGCGAACACAAAACAAAGACACATGACTGTACTCTGTATACGACACTTAACATTGGTAAGTGTTTGATATCTTTTTACCGTTGGAAAATGAAGGTTGCCAGTGAACTGCATACACCCAGTTTTCATGGCCAGCCAACACAGACTCCAAAGAAACTGCATATGATGTGTCAGCATCTGCCACAAATCAGAGAAAAGCATATTTCTTTCTAAAAACCAAGAAAGACCAGGGAATTTCTGGTATCTTTGGTGAAAATAATCAACTGCTTTCAACATCTCAAAAGCTTCCTCACACTGAACAGCTCCTTGAAATACTACTTTGGCACAATCCCTGAAAACCAGATTCACAATCCCTGTGACCTGGTCACAGGTCAGTGTATTGCCTCAGAAGGGTCTCAGAATTCCTGGAGAACTCTCAAGCAGTGTTGAAATAAATGCTCTAAATTGGCACTATGCTTACTCTTACATATATCTGCATCTCCAAATGACTGAAAACACAAGCATTAAGATACTTCAAACAATGAATCAGGATCTGCAGGAAGTAGCATGAGCACTTTTTACACATAACTTCCTTATACTGACTAGGTTGCCAAACCATTTACCCTACAATGTCAGTAATGAAAGCATCTGATGTTACCGTGCTTAAACAGCTTGTTGAATGACCATAAAGTAAGACAGCACATGCTTACCTGTTATTTGCAGTATGTTTCTAATCTTTAAGTAATAGCAGCACCATTTAATTCATTGAATTCAAAAGAAAATGAAAGCTAAGCTATTAAACTGGAGAACTACAGAACAGCTTCTCTTCCACAGACAAATAAGTGTCCTACATATTGCATTTGGAATATGCATAACAACAACAACCCATGTTGGTATTAAGCCCTCTCACTGCTTTACCATTTTGTGTAATGTATCATTAACTTTTGGCTTTAAAACAGTAATTCTGCTTTTTTAACAGCTAAAAATAATGCAGTCAACACAAAACAAACACCTTGTCAGCTTCCCCAGAACCATGAAAAGATACACAAATGAAAAGTTGTGCCAGAGAATTTTACAGCTGTTACCTACCTTTAACAGTAAAAATATTCTCTTTCAGTTTTATGGAATCATCTTCAGTTTCTGGAAGCTGCTTTAATTTTGTACATACTTTCCAAATTCTTATCAAACAGTCCTGAGAACAGCTTGCTAAGAAAAGGTCTTCACCTATTTGTTTTCAGAAAAAGAAGAAAAAAAAAAACCAGAGCCACATTTTCATTGCAATCACTGCCATGACTAACCTACAATCTTTCTATACGTGAACCTAACAGCATTATCCCAATTTTTCCTATTGTACACAGTATCATAAAAAAATTCAGTTTTATTTCAACATCAATTCATTTTCCCTACTATTCAAATTCAAATTTCCCTACTACAATTCAAATTCTCTACTATTTTATAACACACTAGAAATATGTCCATGATTGTAAGATATGGGAGATATGGTAAGTACTGTACATGTTATACATATACTTCCCTACTATTTATGGGCCTTTGCTTTTGGAATTCTATCAGTCTCAATACTTGTCAAAATCTCTTTTCCTCCTTTTCTTTCTCCAAGCTTGGAGCATCCTCAAATTACTTTCTTTTTTGGTGCCATTGCAATAACTATTTGATTAGGTAATGTCTGAAATGATTCTCCTCATAATTTCCCAATTAAAAAAAAAAGGGGTGGGGAGAAGCAAGAAATAAAATATAAACATACTATTTCCCTCTACTCTTCCTCACTCAGATACAGACATTTTTACACTGAGAAGGACAAGTTGCTAAAACCCCATTTTGTTTGCATTTAAGTACCAGTCAGGTTAACATACCTGAAACAAGCAAGAAAAATGTTTTTAAAGGATACCAAGTTTCATCTTGATTTTTAATATTAATTACCACCATCTCAGGAAAACAAACACCACAACCACAAGAGCTGAGGTGCTACAGTGCAACAAGGTGAACTGTTGGAGGGGGTAAAACACTAGTACTGCCATTAAACCACTATTCCTCTTTATTCATCTTGCATACTGACCACAGATTGCCCACTCAACGCCTCTTATCCAATCTTCATGACCAGGGAGTATTAACGTTTTCTGAAACTGAATAAAAACTCCTGTTACATCACAGAAATGCACCTAATGACCATGCACATATCAGCAATAAGCTTTATTTTCTTCAATTTTTTTATATTTATAGCATCTATTACCTAAAACAGAAAAAAAATGCGCCCCAACAAAGGATTGTAATTTACACACAGATTCAAGATGAGCCTTTTTTGTTTTGCCACCATTGGATAAAGCACAGGTAACCCATATATGAGCAGGAAAGGATGTGAATTTACAGTGCACACCTTCAAGAGGCTACAGTCTCTCTATGATACCATTGAAATTTTTTTAAAGTTTATCAGGCTTACTGTGGTACACAAAGAATAACATAATGCAGGTTTGAGGTGACAAGTAATTTCTCATATTTGTGTGAAGTGGATGCAACCGCAGATGATGAAGAAAATGAATACATGTAAAATGAAGTATAAAAAGAAAAGTAAATGCTTTGACATTATTTTCAAGAATTAACTTATATTTATAATAGAATATGATTAATAAGAATCCATTATGGCACTGGAAATATTCTCTATGTTTCTTAAGTTTATCGACAAAATTTCTAAGGAAGATATACACCAAGAACTGCTGATGGAAAACTCTGCATGAACACAGGCTCAGGAACACCAGAATGCAAACACAGTCTGGACCCCCTTTTAAGAACTTCCACTAGTAATTAATTTTCATTTATAACATACGTAACATTACTGGGTTTTTTTATTCAAGTTCAACTATTTACTACTTACTTAGCATTTAACTCATTTCTACATTTCTTTGCCCAGAAACAGCCCTACTTCCACAACATTTTTTATTCCAAGCTGAATTAAAATGTCTGAAGTAACTATTACAGTTAAAACACTAGTGTAGTTTAGTATAAATAACTTATGACATTATTTCTGGCATTTCATTCTACTAAATCACTTACCTAGGCCTACTTAGAACTATGACTAAATGACAGCCTTTGCAATCAGCACAAGTCTGCAACTGAGGTCTCTCTTCCAATCCATGACAGGAAAAAAAGGAAAAATTTATATGCGTATGAAAAAATCCATAATCAGAAATTGGAGCCTTTCTCTTTGATCCAGCATTTCTGATATCCTCCAAAACCACCTTCCCATCAAACAGTATTACTCTGCCCCTGCTCATCACACATTTCCAGTCACAATCATAAAATGGTTTAGTTTAGAAAAGATATTAAAGATCATCTAAAGATTCACCCTCTCCAGTCATTAGCAGGGACACTTTCCACTAGACCAGGCTGCTCAAAGTCCCAACCAACCCAGCCACAAGCTACTCCAGGGATGGGTCATCCACAGCTTCTCTGGGCAACTTGTTCCAGTTTCACAGTAAAGAATTTCTTCCTAATATCTACTCTAAACCTACCCTCTGTCAGTTTGAAGCCCCATCTCCTGTAACTACATGCCCTGGTAAAACACCCCTAAAATTACACGTCCATCCATACATGACCAGAACAGGATACACCATCAGACTAACATGATCAGATACTTCCAAATCAGAAAGTTTAGGTCTCAAAAATGTGTTTTCACAGCCACCTAAGCCTCATTTGGCTGGTCACTTCTGCAGCCACTGGCACTTGTAGATGGGGCATTCCAGAGAGATGTTTATGTTAAACACCTAACAGGTTATGTGTAAAGGCAGGAAGGAACAGCCCAGGAAGTGACATTAAACAGCAACCTAAAGATTTTTCTGAAGATGACATGCTTCTGGCAATACATAAAAAATATCTTTAGCAACTGATATTTCAGATAATAGATAAAACACATTTATTTATTCATTTATATGATCTTTGAGAAAATGCTCTGTATGTGATAGTCATCAAGGTTAGTTGCTAACTTTTCTTTCTAATTGAAAGACTGGCTCAGGTTGAACTGTTGCTAACTTCCTTCTCTTTTATTGTTCCTTTAACACTGTGTATATCTCCTGAAACTTGACCCTAATATTAATCTAAACACACATCTAATAATTTTCCCTTTTCAAGGTGTTGTGGTGTGCATTTTTTTTTAATTACCTTCCTCATCTTACATCAAAGAGATCTATTAAGAAAAGCAGCCATTTGTTTTCCCTTAAAATAGTAAAACTAATTATTTTGAGATTAATACCTTTCTAAGTCATTTCCTGAACAGGCTTTTAGGAACTACTTAGCTTGAAGTCAAGCATGTAGTTCTTTTGTGCTGCAGAACAAACATGCTTAAACAGTCAGCTAGAAGTCTGCACTAATTTTTATATGCTTACATTGAATAGTCCCACTGAACTATTCACATGATTTATAAGGTGGAGGCTGCTGAATTTTATTACCTCATATTCACTCGTGGCCGTAATACCAGCACCAGATGGTGCATGAGGCCTCACTGCTGAAGAGAGATATCCCCAAACCCCTGAAAATGCATCCAGTCCCTTAAATGGACTCATGCTGTTTCCCATCCCTATAACATCATCCTCCACTCTTCACCCATCTGAGCAGGGTCAGTACAATGGCTGGAAAATAGAGGCAAACACAAGGGCTATTACCATACACAGAAGTGAAGCACAGGAACACAACATTCTTAGTCATTGATTTAGCTTTAGGTGGTCTGTCAGGACCAAGGAGTTGGCACCAGCAGTCCTTATGGGTCTCCTCAAACTTGAGATATTCTAAGATTCTATGATACAGTCAAAGTTTTCAAGATATTGGTTGCCATGAAAATAAAAACTGTTGACTGAAACTGAGCAAGGAGTAGTGTATGCTGTTATGCTAGGATTTTCAGAATTGTTTTTGCCCTTTTCTTAGAAGTTAATGTCTCCTGGCATCCTACATTCAGTTTCTTCAGATATACTCGGTTCTAAAATAGAATTAATATAAAGGTATGTCCAGATGCACATGGTCATTACTTTTAGGTGATTCAGGCAAAGTTTCTATTATTGTCTAGGTGTTATATACACCAGTGTTTTGAGCTGTCATTCTTATCTTTTTTTACAGATTTTGTTTTTATAGTCTCATATTTCTTTGTTTCAGTTTCCACTTGGTCGTCACTGGATACACAAGAGGTTACAGTACCAACAGTTAAAACTAACAAAACCTCCTCGTCTGACTACTTACCATGCCTCTTACCTAATCTCTGAACATTGTTGCTTAGCAGCAATCTGGTTTCTTTCCTTTTAAGCAAAGAATAAAGCTGTTCTGTAGGCAGCACAACTAATGAAGCTGTGGACATGTCCAGCACACTCTGCAAAACTAATCCTGCCCACACTTTGGGTACATCTCTTTCAGGACCAGGCTAGTAGCCTGGCTAGTAGTTTGGTAAACTTGGCAATAGTGGTCCAAGTCTTCTCATTTTTTCTCCAGCAGACACTAGATTTGACATCCCTCCTCTATGCAGCTGTTAATCTTAACAGATTAGAATGAGCCTTAATTATCTTTGATTCATCCCCCTGTTCCACTTCTCAGCTGTGCCAAACTATTTGAGTGGAACCCAAAACACACAGTACACCATCTTCTCAGAAAAACAAAGCTCAAATAGAAAACTTTTGGTTTAAAACTCTAATTTAATCTGCCAGTTTACTTGCCCACCACAGGCCACATCTGTTGGTGTTCTATACCAAGCAGGAAGACATATTATGGTTTCTGAAAGATTTTTCCCTGGATACTTTTATAAATCAATACCCTCTTCCAACAAGTCAGAAAAGCAAGGAGTTCATTTTCTCTCTACTGTATAACACATAAGGGATCTATGGGTAAGGAGTCTCAAAAGATGTAAAGCGTGCCCACTCAGTTCTAAAAACCAAGTAGTTTTTACTGAACAAATACATTTGGACTGCAAAATTAATGAGTTTACCAAAAGGTAGCCTGAATAGTAAAGATGCCTCATCCTCCCTCAGAGTCTAACAGTGCCCTTTAAGTTTCATAAGAATGCCCTGTTATGAATGCATATTCTACCTCTGGATTCACACTTATATTCATAACAACCTTTAAAGGAAGTGCTTTACAAAAGTCACTGAATTAACTGAACAGAGCTACAGGCCCCTACCTGTAAGACATAAGGAATGACACAGGAGCTAAGATTCTAATCACTCTCCTATGCCAAGTTCCAGTAAAAAAATGGCAAGGCTATAGTAACACTTCCTTCAAATACCTTTAATACTACTAAGAAGCCATAAAAAAGGTGTCAGTAGATCTTAGAAAACTTGATGAAGGAGATTCAGCAGCTAGGCAGGAATTCATGTCAGAGGGCTTGCAAGGATGTTTTAATTCTGTTAATAGTTGTAAAGCACAACACAGGCTCTTCTCTTCGAGGCCTGCACTGTCCACATAGCTAGAAGAGATGTTCTGGAAAGTTAAGATAGTCACCAACAAGAAGTCCCACCTCATTTAAGAGATATTCTGAACAACAACTCTGCCACAACAGCTGGTGAAAATACTTTCTGAAATTGAAACTGTGAAAAATATCACATGCAAAACAAAACTGCTCATCCCATGTATAAATCAAGTTTCCTACCTCCAAAAAAAGACAGCACAAACTTGCCAATGAAGCTTAAAAGGAAACTTGTTTATTCAAGTTACCTTCCTTTGCCCTCCAAAGACTGACTGCCTTTTAAAATGGCAGATTACTGTTATACCAGAAAGTTTGGCCAACAATGGGCAAAATAAATTATGTACTTCTGAACATTTTTGGCAGTTAAACTGTATATAATTTGTAAACCGGAATCATACAAGAAAACAAGTTTACAACTCTGAATGAGAAAAATTGATCACACAGTCCCTGAGATAAAAGTCTTTCTTTAACACTTCAAGAATCAGTAGTGGTATTTTGCCATTGCTAATTCCCAGAGAATTCATTAAACTGACATAACTCACAAGCTACACAGGAAAAAAGAAAAAAAAGTCAAAAATCTAACTGAGCACGCTTCTTTTCTTCTGAGTGGTCAAGAAATCATTAAACATAGAAGAAGGGGATGAAGTATTTATCTTACTGGCAACATCACTAACCAAAAAAATCTTACTACTGTACATGGCAGCACAAACAGGCAAAATTATCTATAAAGTAGCTTTTATCTCTCTCAAAAAAAAAAGAATAAAGGAGTATCTATTCTTTAATCCCTAAAGGGAGCGTGACTGAGCAATTGCAGCAGACTAAGAGGTTCTATATATGCCGGTTTCAAAGAGGAGTTCTAAATGGTAGCTTCACTGGTGCAATGGGAGAGCATTTGTGATCTGAAGGGTTTTTTTAAGGGAGTGAGAGAAAGAAAGAAGTGATACTGAGCTCTGTTTTGGAAAACAGTCATTCAACACATGCTTTAGAATCTAACAAAACCTCTGAACAGATGCAAGAGAGGACATAACGTTTTTCTACTCCTCAAAAGGAATATTTATCTGTATGAAAAACTAAAATTTGCCAGCTTCCAAATAACATATGAAAAATATGTGCTTTTATAAGATCCAATACTCCTAAAAATACTTTTTTTTGATGTTCAAAAGCAGTCAACCATAAATGGCACACTTAGCAACAAACATAAAACTCCTCAGATAGAAGTCATAACAGTTTTATTATAAGAATTTATAGAATGAAAAGAACATTATTTCCATATGAACAACTCAATGCCTGGATACTTCGTAAAGAAGGACAGTTGCAGGTATTTCGTAGCAGTGGGAATAGAAACAGGCTATCTTCACACAGGGGAAAAAAAATCAAGAAAACACTCTCATGCACTGAATTCAACTTCAATATTCTGTATGTGCATTTCATTATTACCTAAAAAAATAGATGAACTATTTGAAAAAAGGTTGTTGTATGCAATGGCTACATAGAGACAGAAAGGACTTACTGAAGAACTTGGAAAAAATCACCAGCACATTTGAAAAGAAGCAAAAAAACTCAATAACGCTCTGAGCAAGAGACAAAAATTGCAATTACCTGACCATTCTGCTGTATAAACAAACTTATTTTGCAGTCGTCACCACCACAAGCCAGTATTGGTACTAGAAAGAAAAAGCAGATCTTCATTTTTTTATAAGATCTCATATTCCAGGACATGAAAAAATATAAATAATGTAAAAATCAATACAGAAATATATCAAAATATAACAATGCTAACAGACAGGCAAGTGTGATACCACTTTTTAATGTTTTCTGCATTAGCTGTCTAAAAAACTGGTATCTTAAGAACACAGAACTCAAAAGTAATTTCAACTGCAAATAATATCTATAAATATTTAAGATGCTAAAAGAAGTAGCTTGCCTCAAGCTCATACATCTGTAGGAAGTTCAAGCAGTAGCATTTTTAATTAATTATATTTCATTTATATCAACAGGCATTTGCTCTAAATACAGAAGAAGGAAAGAACAAAACAAGATGACTCAGAACTAAGGCAATTCAAGCTCCTTAATCAACTAAGATAGGTTTAGATGGAGTAAGCATAATTATTATACCGCAAATAAAAAGACCAGAATGGGAAGACAGATCACCACTATCTGTACCCAAGAATACGAACATAATGAATTGTTTTTCACTCAAGACTGCTCAAGTCTTCAGTAGTAGTTGACTTCCAGTGGCTAACCTAAAAAGTCCACAGACCCTGTAAGTCTATTGAATCAAACCAGAGAATGTTATGTGTGAGGGAGATAGAAAAAAAAGAAGTTAGGCAGTGTATTAGCTCCTCTCTACAACAGAAGAGGATGAGGAAAAATAGTTAACGCTTACTCTACTCTTCGTTTTTTATGTCATAAGGAGGAAGTGTTACTGCTAGGGACTGAAACAGTAAAAGCAAGTAAATTTAGTATACAACTATGAAGAAATAAGTTATAAGTTAAGGGCTAGACATTTGCATTTCTCAAGTCTGGATAGAAAACCAGATACTAAACTTCACTAAAATCAACTACTTCTTTTAACAAAAAGCCTCCATGACATCCCTTCATATAGGTAATTTTATCTTTACTACGGATAGATCAAAAATCAACTTGAATATTCATAGTATGTTTATCCTCTATACTACTCTTCTAGTTGTACCAAATCTGTGCCTAGTTATCCACTGTTCCTCTTGCGCTTCTGAGTCACATGCCACATTCTTATAGCTCCATCACTTGCTTCCTCTCTCCAACCTGTAAGCCACAATTCACCTCTATCTCCTCCTCTCTTTAACAGGTCTAAAAAAACCCTGCTTTGGATTGAAGATGATGAGCTGCTTGGAACAGAGACCTGTTCATCAGGTCTACAGAAATTGGGCAGGAGCGACGTTTTCTTCCATAGAACACAATCAATGGATGTTCTTGAAGACAATATCATCCTTTCCTGAGAAGCACATTTTATGGGCCATTACTGTAATTACGTATTTATTCAACAGAATGAAACTTTAATTAAGAAAACCAAAGAGAGAATTATGGTTTAGTTGCTGTTGCAGACAAATACAAATACTTTCACTCAAAAAGTTCTAACCAGAAATTATATATATATATGACAAAAACAGACTAGTATACAGTTTTTCACATAAATGCTTTGTGATATTAGAATTTGGATCTGACTAAGATAAAATTCCTGCACAGGAAATAAGAAAAGTAAGTCGGATAAGCAGAGCTTTTCCAAGTTTACTTGCTCTGTTTTTTTCACCTGTTGCAATTCAGTCCTGAGGAGACAATTATTTACTGTCAGAGGCCACGCTACATCATGACAATTATCCAGGTCATAGGAAGAATCAGATTATATGACAAATAGCTGATGGAGATTTGTAAAAAATAAATCCTATTGCCAGCATTTTAGAAGCAGAGTTTGTGCAGGCACTGTAAGGCAAAAGGCAAGCAAGGAACCAAAACTGCAAAAAGTTCTTCAAGGCTAAACAGCAAATATACAGAAACTCCTTAACAAAGAGGCTGCCAGAGAAGTGTTTAAGCTGCATTCCAGCTGCAAATGACTGGACGGGTTTTTATGAGCAGTCTGTCAGATTTCCCTATTAGATTTCTTGACAAAATAGTTCAATTTATTTTTTTAATAATTTATTTTCAAGGACAATCAGTTAAAATCCTAGGCATCAGGAACATCTGAAAGTTAAAGCATCCATTGCATATGCATCAATTTTCAATGCAAGCCTCAAATTTCTTTTCTTGCTGAAATTAGAGGTTAGTGTAAATGCTTCAGGAAATGCAGTTTATAATTTTCAGAAAAGTAATTCTGTATTTAGTTCCTGACTTAAGAAATGCAGATTGTTCTCAAGAGAATAGCTTCTCTGAATCCCTGTGCAGCTGACAACACAGCCTTCATGAAGATTTCTGAGCAACTCCTTATTTATGATATTATTTATCACAATCATTTTTCCCTGAAGATCATTAAAATTCCAAATTGCCATTAGAGATCAATGTTTCTGACAAATGATCAGCAGTGATTTTTAATAATACATTTTAAGCTCCTTTATTTAGATTTCAGAATTAACATATTCCTCAGCTATATGGACTACTATGTCAGGTTTAGGGAGAAAATACTGGCTATGCTTTATTAAAAGCCCCTTTACAGATTTCTACAGGAAACATTTCTATGCATTTACAGTTCAAAATTTAAACTGTTTCTTTGCCATTTTAGCAGCATAGGTCATCTGTATTGGAACTGGAATTTAAAAAAGCAAATGTCTAGAATTGTTTTTTAAATTCCACACAAAATTAAATTTTTGTGTAAATTGAAATTAATTTCAGTTCTTGAGAAAAATAAAGAACTCTTTTTCAGTTTATGAGCACTGTACTGCTTTGATAACTGATCTGAACTGGGATGGGAAGAGTTCATAATAAGGGATTGTCCTGCTCTCAATGTAACTTTAAGCAACACTGGTTTTGGGGCTCTGGAAAACAAAATCCTTGCTATTCCACTATTCAAAGAAGCTTCAAACATTTCATGCAATTTGAGTTTCAGAAACACTCAGTTTTAAGAACTACTATGATAATTTTAATTTATGGTGCTTTCAGAATACATGGTTACTTCTCTTACATACAACACAATTTTGACATTAAACAGAAGCACTGCTCTAGAGCATTACAGTGAGAATTTCTACCCTGTACAGTGTCATAAATGAAGATATAATCTATTGTTTTATAATCTGAATGTCATACTCATACACACCACAAGCACTTCACTTCTAAAGAATATTCACACTTGCAGTAATGATTTTAATTCACTCTCAAGCCTTTTAACTTCACCTCAACAAGCATATGTTAGTGTATTAACAGGAAGGGAGAGAGAGGGAGAGAGAGGGAGAGAGAGGGAGAGAGAGGGAGAGAGATGTAAATGTTCTTTAATGGTGCAGATGTTGCTTTTGGTATCAAACATGCTCTGAAAACAGACACTGGCATTTCCAAATGATTTGGACAACACATCTTGAGAGAGCTTTCATTGCTCCCAGAATTATCAAAGCCAAAGAATAAAGTATGCTTGTAGGCATATAATCAAAACAACACATCAGTGTGGAATGCATGCAGCAAAGAGCTGAAAATTCCAGACACACTATGAAAATTTATCACTTTTTCAGCTGGGAGCACCTCGCAGGCCTCCATCCAGGTGAAAGACTCAAATGATACTTAAACACAAATTTCATTCAACACACACATGTATACATACTTGAGGATACATCTGCTTTATTAAAAAAAGCTTCTACCTATTTGCAGAAAAAGAATATGTCTGTGGCAGCCTACAAAGCCTAACATTTCTATTAGCAGAAACCTACATAAACCATACTGAACAGTCAGGTTAAAGTAGCTCAGCATCTCAAATTTTTTCACATTAAACACTGAACAAATAGATGACAAATACTGCTTGAGAACCTATGGTTTTCAATGCAGGCCTTCAGATTTTTTTTGAATTTTGCCCTTCAATTCAAACAAGAACAAACATGTGCAGCAGCACTGCAAGGAGCAGGTAGAACTAACAGCATCATCCTATCCCATTCATTTACAGCATTGTTACACTGGTTTAAAGCTTTCCATCTCAAGAGTTCAACTAAACAACTCCATCTGAATGCCATTTTGAAGACACTGTAATCAGTCTTTGTTTTTAATTACTGAGAAGAGTTCAAATAAAATCCTTAGATACAAGAATCAGCTTAAGCAGATTTCATAGAAAACAAAAACTGTGGCACACAGGTCTGGAGTCAGTCAAATGAAAATCTGTTTGGGGGATTTCTTAGGTTTTTCTTCCTGCATTGATATTCAAGATGTGCAGCTTTACTTACCATCGCTGCCAGGCAAGAAGGATAAGCAGACATCCATAACAAATCCATTTCCAAACTGCAGGATTTCAATGCATTTAGCTGGAAAACAGGAACAGACAGCGTTCATCTCATTCACTGTAACTATTACAATTACACTGTCATTTTCTTCTATATTATATTGTTTAAATTTCCCATCCATTTTTATTTTAAGAAGCTGAAAAAAATCTACATTTTTCCAGAAGCCTAAACAATATCATCATCTTCTGTGAGTGAATAAAAATTCATACATTTAGTTAAGTTAGAAAATAATACCGAGTCTTTAATCTCTACAGCTTCACTGTGGTAACACACCAGAAGCAATAAATATTACAAAATATGTCCTGTGGCAAAAGCATTCACAACACAGGAAGATAAAACTGAATCCATTTTCTACAACAGCAGCTAGAGAGATGACCAAAAATCTGCAAATATCCCTGAGATCCTGGAAACTGTTAAACTAGTAAACTAGTAATTGTTAAATTAGTAAAGAAAGAAGAAGATAGCAGAAAAAAAACTGTCTACAGCAGAAGAATTAGTCCCTCTATCACTGTAACCCACACCAGCAAGACAAAATAGAAAAGATGAGACTTCATGGGGTTCTTTGGGAGCACCAAAAATGCCTTCCAGAATATGGGACTGTAAATTGGCAACTCCCACCTTTCTCATGTAGGCAAGGCAATAGGAAACCTTCAAAGGAAGAAAGTAGCTAAAGAAATGCAGTCACTATAACTCAACCAGCAAATACTTAAATCTCAGTTATCTACCCAATTTATTTCTCATGTATTTTAGAATGCTGTTTTCTTGTATTTCCATGCAAGAGCCTAGTTCAACAGAAGGTCAAGATCCCATTATCCCAAACTTTACTGGACTCAAGCCAACAGGACAAAACAAGTGACTAGTTAAACCTCATCTTTCTAATGCCACCATTAATCATTTTACTAGGTAATTCTACTTCACACATGCACACAGACAGTCTGCCTCCACATTACAGAGCAAAATGCTTCAGATTATCATAATCTGAATACATATTTTAAAAAAAACAAATTCAGCCAACACACCCCTGATGAAACATAAAAATATATCATTCTGCAACAAATCTGACCCAAGGCTTTCCAAGAGTAATAAAGTGCTATGAGGTACTAAAGTCTGAAGACAAATCAATGTAGTTGCATTACAAGATGTTAGTATTTAATACCTAATGGATAAGTGTTCACCATTCTTATTTAGCCAGTATTGTATCCCTAACAGTAAAAAAATGTTACCTTCTGAACCATGCCGAGACCAGATTCTCACAGTAGAGTCAGAGGCTGCAGAAGCTATTAGCAGATTTAAATCAGGTTCATCTGACTGGTAGACAGCATCCACAACAAAAACAGCATCCGTGTGGCCTTTGAGAGGAGTGCTTTTCACAAGCTGAACACATGAGAAAATTTTACAAAATTTTAAATTCCAGAAACTTATGTGAGAGAGCTTTTAAAGCCACTTTAGGAAGAAAAAAAACTTAATACTGAAAATTAGTTCTATACCTGCAATGGGAGAGTGTCTGCCAAGCTATGCTTAAGCTAGAGCATATTCCAGGAAACCCAGAGAATGGACACAGCAGCAATGAATATTAACTTAGTAAGATTTTGCTCAAAGCTGAACAGAATTAATGTTCCTGTGTACACTATACCCTTACTATACTATAACCTCACCCTTACTTGAGGGAAGCTGGAAACAGTATAGAAGTTAAGAAGAGCAGTTTTCCTTCCTTTTTCTCCTTCTCTTGTCCCTCACCCTAAGGAACATCTCACAAAAGTTTGGAGAATCTTAGTGAAGGAGACAGAGCAGAGAACACAATGGAATAAGCAGCAGCTACAACAGCTCTAGCAGAAATGTTTAGAGTGCTCTCACAAACCAAAAAGCTTTTCACTCCTTCAAAATGCCAACATGAAAAACAAAACCACTAAATTTAGACAATGAATACAGGTGATTCAATTTGCAATCTGTTCCTCATAAACAGAAAGATCAAAGTGAGAAGCTTTTAATTTTGCAACCAGCAGTCATCCAACATTTATTCAGATTTTATCATAGACAGACTTGACATCTATTTCCAAAATACAGCCTGGTAGGCCTCAGTGAGAATTTTTGATTGGTTAATACAGAACTTTGTTTTTAAGAATTTACACTAATCTAGCAATCCTATTAAAATGTGCACATGTAGCCACATTCTTTGGAAATTATTGCCATATGGCTGTGCATCACGTCAGCAGAAAAAGTTTATTAAAAAGTCCGTAAGTTAACTTAAATAAATGCATGAACAGTTACAATGGATCAGGATGAGAAATAACTTATTTCTGAGAACTTTCCCCCATCAAAGGTTAATTTCCCCCTACTATGCATTCTCAGGCATTTTAAAATGCCAAGTCTAATAACCTAATAATTTGACACAGATGATGAAATGGGTTACCTACACAGCTGGTCACAATCCAGTGCTTAATAAGCATGATATTAAAAGCTAGATAATAAAGTGGGTTTTTCATCAAAATTTCAGGTCATTCAGAAGGCTCTTTCACACAACACTGAATCTCTTGCTTTACATTTTACAGTACAAATAATAAATTAGCATGTCTCCTTACTTTTCTCCATTTCTCTGAAAAAAGCCAATTGTTGCACAGATTTTTTTATTTTCATTTTTGTTAAACATCTACTCCAACTTGTATATCATCCTGGTAAGACTACCTATATACAAACCCCACACTGTTGCACAGATTGACCAGAAATCACTAGAAATGGATACAAGGAAACAAAGAAGGGTACACAAAATGCCTGCTCGGAATGGGCCTCATGGTTTGAAGGTTTTAAGGTGGTTTAAAGAAAACTGCCACGTGAGATCAGAAAGCTGATGAGTTAAGAACAGACAAACAGGTCTTTCAGACACCTAAACAAATCCCCTCAACGACTGATGGGTTTGTTAATTTCTTTACCAATGCTGATTTGAAAAAGATGAACCAGAGAAAAGAGGAAACAACATTTACAGCAGTACATAGCAAGACAGAGTACCAACAATTTCAAGGATATACACACTGGGTTCAATTTAAAAAAAAAAACCAAAAACAGTCGAAGTGAAACAAATAGTATGAACCAGAAATACAAACACAACAGATAATTTGTGATATGTGAGAAACTAGCTCAGAGGGAGATTTGAAAAGAGGTTATCCCTGCTTACCTGATTATTCCATGTTACTGTATCTTTCCATTCCCAAAGAATAAGTTGTTTATCAGATCCACCAGAAATTAACTCTGTTTCAGAAGCTAAAAAATACACTTCGGTTAGTTCAGTGTACACTTAACTTTGTAACAGCAACATAAGCAGTTCTGCTGGTTACTACTCACAAAATATCACTACTGGTAAATGTCCTGGCTTGTAAAATAAGCATGTATTTTCAAACCAAGACAGTAACTAAAGCTTCCACCAAAATAAGGTATGGTTAATAGGAGTTGCACTGTGCAGAACAGGTTAAGAGCAAAGATATTCCCTAAGAAAATACAAAGAGAAAATTGACAGGACTATTTAAAGTTCTGTGTGAAAGTGGTAAAAATACCTTTCCAGAAGGCTCTCAAATCCAACACTGTAAATTAATCTTTTGGGGTTTTGTTTGGTCTTTTTGGAACATAGGAAAATAAAGCAAGAGAATTTAAACAAACAGAATTCAAAGCTTCATAAGAAAATTGAAATCCCAAGTTCTCTGAAAATAATTTCTTTTAATCATTTTTAAGAAGAATATGTTTCACTGCAACCCGTTGAAAGGATGGCAGTTCATACCACTATTAAAAACTAATGTTTGCACCTCAGTACTTTTCAAAAAAAGGAAGCAGCACATTACATTAACAGTCTAATCAACAGTCACATTTCTCTTCTTCAGTGAGTTTCCATAAATGCCTAAGGACAAGAATACATGCCTATGAAAAGCCTGCACTAAACAATGTTAAATCCTGGAATTACTATCCAGCAAAAGCCTCATAAGTGTCTCAAACATTGTTATCTATCTAAAGAGTCCTTTTGTCAAGCACATAACCTCTATGCAACTTCAGAGCTTTATACTCAGAGATTGCTGAAAAGGCATTGCAAATTAGTTTACAAAGTCAGAACACGCAAAACCCCAAATGTTACTGAAGAGACTGGTAGAAGAACAAGCAGCACACAAGCCATGGACCTGTGTGAGCTGCCCAGCCCCAGGCAAACACTCTCCTGGGCTGCCCCTGGCTGTGGGGCCAAGAGCAGAGATCCCCTCACCATTCAGCTCACCTGGGTTTAGCAGCTGGCATTCCTGCAGACCTCTGTGTTAACATGAGGCCACACCTCAGCTACTGAGCCTCTCAATTCAGGAAGGGTACTAATGTGCTGGAGCACGTCCAGAGATGGGCAACAGAGCTGATAAGGCTCTGGAGCACACATCTTATGAGTGGCTGAGGGAGATGGCATGTTTAGCCTGGAGAAGAGGAGGCTCAGGGAAGACCTTATCATTGCCTACAACAGGAAGGAGGAGCCAGGTGGGGGTCGGTCTCCTCTCCCAGCTAGCAAGTGACAGGATGAGAGAACACAGTCTTAAGCTGCACCAGGGCAAGCTTAGGACGGACATGAGGGAAAATTTCTTCACAGCAAGGGTGCTTAGACATTGGAATGAGCTGCCCAGGGAGGTGGTGGAGTCACTGTCCCTGCAGGCATTTAAGGAAAGACGGACGGAGCACTCAGTGCCATGGTCTAGTTGACACGGTGGTTCTTGGATCATAGATTGAGCTCAATGATCTTCAAGATATTTTCTAAACTAACTGATTGTGTGAAAATCCCTCCTGGAAAACTAGGCTTAGGGCCAAAGATGCACTGCAAGGCTCGCAGTTCCCAATTTCCCCGAGCGTCCAGCGCAGCCCCGCTGCTGCCGAGCCTCCCCCGCCCGCCCTGTCCGGCCCGGCCCGGCCAGCGGGACCCGGCCCCGAGGGGACCCGGCCCCGGCTACTCACCGCGGTCCCGCCGGCGGACCCAGCGCACGCAGTTCACCCTGCCGGCGTGCCCGCGGAGGGCGGCGACTGCCCGCCTCACCTGCGGGACAGACAGACAGCACCGCGCGTCAGGGGCTGCTCCTGCTCCCGGTCCCGGCCGCACCCCAGAGCGCATCAACTCACCGCCGGGTCGTAGAGGATGACATCGTGGCAGCTGCCGAAGGCGAGGAGGCCCCCGCGGCCCCAGGCCACGGCGCCGCCGCCCGCCCGGTTGGCGCAGCAGGCGATGTGACAGAGCGACACGGGCGCCGCCATCTTGGCCGCCGCCGCCGCGTGCGCGACCCCGCGCGGCTCCCGTGGCAACGACCCCGGGGGCGGGGCCTGAGGGGGCGGGGCCGCTTTCTTGCCTCTTTGCCGTGAGGGCCCCTGGTTTTGGCGTGTTCAGTGCGGGTTTTTGCGTGTTCAGTGCGGGTTTTTGCCTCTCTTGCAGCTTTTGCCGAGACCTCAAGGGTTGCAAAAGTTTAAAGCTTTTCTGTTTGCTGGCTCCTGTGAAGAAATTCCTCCTCATGCCCAACCGAAGTGTCCCCCGGTGCAGTTTAGGGCTGCGTCCTCCCATCCTGTCGCTGGGTGTCTGGGAGAATAAAGCGACCCCTACCTGGCCATAATCTCTCTTCAGGGAGTTACAGGGATCGATAAGGTCTCCCCTGAGCCTCCTTTCCTACAGGCGAAACAACCCCAGCTCCCTCAGCCACTTCCCGTAGGAATTACCCTCTGGACCATTCACCAAGTGGATTCCCTGAGAGAGCTGAGTATCGGCTCGGTGTCGCTGATACCCATTCCTGGGCTGCTCCCATCACCTGTGAAAAAGGTGGTATCACCACCTGATAAAGAACCATGCTCAAATTAGGTCTCTGAAGTTGGGATGTGTATATTATTATTAATATTTAATTTATTATTATGTCCCTAAAATTACTGTCGTGGAAAGCATGAGAATTTGCAGCTGAGCAATGGGCAGGCTCAACAGCTTGATCTGAATATGTTTGAATACCTCTGCTTTCAGGGGGAAAAAAGAGATGAAAACAGAGCAATTAGTGAATTCCATCTGTTACATTTTTATTTTTTTCATTCTTTGATATATTTATTGCCCTTCCTGCACAAGAAATTGAAATCAAGAAAAAAATAAATACTGCAGTGGTACTATAGTTTTAGTTGCTTGGTCACTGGCTTTGAAACAGGGTCACAATGTGTATTACACTGCACAGGTGTGCTCAAATTGTATCAGCCACTTGTCTGCACAGGCTGGAGGGCTTTGTTGGTTCCCAGCAGCCGCAGGTGCAAAGAGCTGCCCCACAGGCTGAGCAGGAGCCTCAGCAGGACCTTCAAGACATCCACTCTGCCTCCAAATGCACTGCCCCACACACACAGAAGGCCATGGAGCAGAAGCCAGGTTGAAGTATAAATGGAGAGCTATGCAAGCATGGAATACCACACACAGAAGGCCATGGAGCAGAAGCCAGGTTGAAGTATAAATGGAGAGCTATGCAAGCATGGAAAAAGAGAGAAACAGAGATGTGCCTCCTGTCCCCACACCTAAGATATCCTGAAGTAATTTAAACTGAACTGAAAAGCTGGAAAGTCTGGGCTGGAGGGAGAAGCCGGCTTTCTGGGCTTGTGCTTATGTGAGGTGGGGGCAGGAAGAGAAAGCAATGAAAAACAAGCAAGCATCCAGAGGAAGCACTCTGCATGGCACATGGAACATTTTGGGCCTAAACCTTTCCTGCCAGGCCTTTATCTCCTGGTTGTTCTTGAATCCTGGCTGTCGGCAGCGCTGTAACCTGACACAAAACCACTGCAGATAGGCACACTTGTTTTCCAGTGGGTACAAGAGGAAGGAAGCTGTGCCTGATCACATACTAGATACAGCCAGAAATGTTAGCTGCTAGGGGAACAAATGACTCCTTGCAGAAAAATGCATGGATCCAGTCATCAAAGCATGCCTTGACTGAGGAGCGCTGTCTGGAGCTGCCAAGGATGGCTGCACAGCAGCCAGGTTGCACAGCAACCCCTTCTCAGCAGGCCTTGCCAGGGCTGGAGTCAGGGCTCTGGCAGAAGGAGGTCGGGCACTGCCAAAAAGCTGGGTCATGTTATAGGAGTTTCGTCTGTTGCTGTGGGAACAGAGCTGGCTCTGGCTGTGATTGTAGGCATAAGTGTAGACTTTTCCAAGATGGATTGGGTGAGAGACTCCTCTGTGACACAAAAAGTTAACCCGACTGATAGATAACCTTTTGCTAAACTGTAAACAGTTTTAATGGGGTGCTGCTTGTATTGGAGAGATTAGAGGTGGTGTCCTGCCTGAGTGTGCAAAGGCATTGTGGCCCTGTGCCACAGGGTTTTGTGGGGCTGGTCCTTGCACACCTCGGGGTGCTTTCCCAGCCAGTTTGAGATACTACATTGTGGAAGGCTGCTAGTGCCAAGTATTGACAGTGATTGCCTCTTTTCCCCCAAAAAAGGTCTGTCACTGTGGGGTGCTTTCCCAGCCAGTTTGAGATTCCACATTGTGGAGGGCTGCTAGTGCCAAGTATTGACAGTGATTGCCTCTTTTCCCCCCAAAAAAGGTCTGTCACTGTCACCCCTGTGCCACCCTAACAGAGTCCAGCACTGAGAGAACTGGGATAAGTCAACACAGATTATGGACTTAACAGTGCCATGAGGAATGCTGTAGCAGCACCATGGTGCCATGGCTAAAGAAGCACAGGAAGGTGGATTTATGTCAGGACAGATCAGTGCAGATGGGCCTAGTTTCTTACTTGTCATAAGTACTCTCTCTGCCCAAGGCCTCATTCAAATGAGACTCTGAGCTTTTGGTCGAACCCAAGAAAGTTTTTTTGTGAATTATAATGTTACAGGATCTTCTCTTGAAAACTGAAATATCTGGAGGATATTGTATGAGAAGTTAAGAATATCAGATGAATTACTCTGGAACCGTATGCCTTTTAGGAACACATACTTTATGTGTAGTAAAAGGAAGTAATAGTGATGGTCAGTGGTGTTGCAAGGATAGAAAAGGACATACTCTAGACTTGTCGCCAGCTGCCAGTCTTCATTCATAGCTAATGTCCTCATGAAATTAAAATCCCCTTTAGAGACCCAGATGCTTCCTTCCCATTAGAGTGGGTCATCACATCTGTCCTTGTTTTCCTTCATATTCCCAGAAAAGAACTTCTTTATTTTTCAGAAATATATGTAAAAATAATCTTCCTTTTTTTCTCCCTTTTGTGTAACTTTTGAGACACAGGAAGAAGTCAGTTCATTGAATGTCAGAGATGGTTATTATGGTGCCTAAGCAGACTTCAAAAAGTCACTCCATAGTTTTTTTCATGTCTTTTATGTGACCCCATTTGGTTCTTCCAATGGAGATACATCAACAAGCTCTGATAAGGGAGCTACTACTTAAACAAAAGCTTTCTTGAGCTGGAAATAATTTTTCTAGTTAGTTAGGCATTGGAAAACTTCTGTTTCAATAGTAATTTAGTAGCCACACAGTAATTTTGTATAGTAATTTTGATGGTAAATTCATGTTTACAAGTGAGGTTTCGCAGACAGAGGTGGCTTGGTGCCCTGCATGTTCTCCCTACCCAACTCAGTTATGCCTACAACTTTATGAGAGAGATGGAGAAAATACAACACTAAGCAAAAAGTTGTATTTAGTGTTTAACATACTTATCTAACTATGTCTAAACATTGATATGAAAATATAACAACTTTGCAAATATGTTAAATCAAAGTTTAATGTTTTCTTTCATTGGGTGAAATTTTCTTGATTTACAGGAATATGTGTTAATAGACAGGAGTCATTCTACAAGACACTACGAAAAGCAGCAGTCACATGTTAGGTTTACAGTTTAATTATACATAGTTAAGTTAAACAGAAGAAAGTTCAAAAGTTGTTAAATGAGCAAAGCCAGTACTCAAAGGTTGGGGGCCTTGTTCTTGCAAGTTGTTGAGCTTAGCCTATCTTTATGCGTCTTCATTGTATACATGCTTACGAAGTAATCCCTAATGAAAATACAATTTACTGTTTGCTATTTTTACTTTAGGTTGTATGCCTCCAGTAGCAGCCTGGATGAGAAGTGCCTGATAAATGAGACACCTATTCAGTATTTTAATGTCTCCTCATTAGCTATATCATGGCCCTGGTCTTAATTTGGTGTACAGTAGTTTTTTCTGTACAGCACAGAATTATCTTTTTCCATAGCTGGTTTTTTTTGTGGTTTTTGATTTTTGTGTTGGTTTTTTTGGGTTTTTTTTGGTTTTTTGGGAGGGTTTTGTTGGTTGTTTTGGGTTTTTGTTTGTTTGGGTTTTTTTGGTGCTTTTTTTTTTGTCTGTTTGGTTTTGGGATTCTTTTTGTAACTTCTACTGCTACAGCACCTGAATGTCTCAGGAAAAACTTTACCAGTTACAGTTTCTTTATAATATAACTCTTAGGCAGAGGGGTATTATTGTATTCATTTCCTGGGATCAGTTTCACCTATACCAGAATTCATAATAAAATCACAGACTCATAGAATGGCTTGGGTTGGAAGAACCTTAGAAATCATCTACTTTCAAGCCTCTGCCATGGGCAAGGACACCTTCCACTAGACCAGGTTGCCCAGGCCCCATCCAACCTGGATTTGAATACTTCCAGGAATGCAGCATCCTCAGCTTCTCTGGGACACCTGTTTCAGTGCCTCAGCACCATCACAGTACAGAATTTCTTCCTAATGCCTAACCTAAACCTGCTATCTTTCAGTTTTAAGCCATGCCCTCTCTTCCTATCACTACACTCCTTGATAAATAGTCCCTCCCCTATTTTCTGTAGTTTCCATCCACTTTAGGTACAAGAAGGCTGCTCCAAGATGTCCTCAGGGACTTCTCTAAGTTAAGCAACCTGAAATCACTTAAGCACCATAGTGACAAACTATCCACAGCGTCCTTTGCCTCCAGCTTGGATTGAGAGCATTCAAAACTTGGAACTCAGTTTCCAGCTCTGGGACACTTCTGATGGCTGTGCCAAGGTTTCATCTGAGAGAGCAGAGAACTGCAAAAATGAATATTAAACAATAATGACCAAAACCATAAAGATGAGTTTAAATAATTTCCCAGCTTCACAGAGGATAGTGTGTACAACATCTGGGAACAACTCCATTGCCTTTGACATCTTGAACACAGATCCAGCCTCTTCCTTTTTGCCAGCTGTGGGATCTGTGTTGGAAGGCATTCCACTGCACGGGGAATACTTATTTGTGGGTTTGCTAGGATTTCCTTCCCTTGAGCACGCACCTACCAGATTTGATGCC